ATGTGTGTATGCATGTATGTATGTGTGTATGTATGTATGTATGCATGCATGTATACGTTACGTATGTGTATGCATGTATGTGTATGTGTGTATGTATGAATGCATGTATGTGCGTATGTACGTATGCATTAGAATTGTATTGGTATATGCATGTGTGAATGAATGAGTGAATGAATGTACGTGTGTGCATGATTACGTATGTGTTTATGTATGTGTATATGTGGATGCGTGAATGCATGAATGTATGTATGTGAGTATGTGTATACACGTCTGGATGGATGGATGGATGGATGGAAAGATGGATGGATGGATGGACGGACGGATGGATAGACGTATATATGTATATATGCATGCATGCATGCATGCATGTGAGCATGTATGTATGTATGCACGTCCGCCACCATATCCCTGGCGCGAAGAGGAATGCCCCAATGCTCATGCATCCCTGAGAGGTACAGGATTTGAGTATCTTAAGGGCCCGGATCATTAGTTTCCTGGGCACTTTCGAACGGTACTCGGCGCTCCCAGGATTTCTCGCGTGGGCCTCTGGGACAGTTCCCTCGCTCAAGAGGGCCCCCGCATGGCACAGAAAGCACAAGGAGGCCCAGAATCGCCGAAAGATCGCTCCAAGACGCCCACGATGGCCTCCAGAGGTCCCAACAGGCTTCGAAGACGCCCCAAATGACCGCCAAGAGCACTCCTAACAGGGCCTCAAGAAGGAAAATCATGGAGTTCCCGATGCTCCAAGACGACCCAAGAGGCCCCCAATATCGCACCAAGACAGCCGAACAGGCCTCCAAGAGGGCATCAAAACAGCCCACGAGGGCCCCAAGACGGCCCAAGAGGCCTCCAAGACGGCCCACGAGGCCCCAAAACGGTTTCAAGAGGGGGCCCAGACGGGGGTTCCGAACTTACGTTTCGAGCCATCGGCCCCGAGAGGCCCACAGGAAGCCCCAGGAGACCCCCAAGAGGCCCCCAAGAGGCCCCATGCGGCTCCAAGAGGCCCCCAAGACGCTCCCAAGAGGCCCTCTAGAGGCCCCCAAGAGGCCCCAGAGCTGCCGCCAGAGGCCCCCGAGAGTGCTCCGAAGAAACCCCAAGGAGCATCCCTGAGCACTCGGACGGACTGGGCCAGGTCCCGCAACATAGGCAAGACCGCGACTGATCACAAGACATATTGGCAGCGTACACAACACTGCCGGGAAGGAGGAGGAGGCTTCGTTACGACAGAGCTGTCGAATGAGCACCCTACATCCGAGAGCGTGTATTGAACAGAAAACGGCCCGATGGCAACAACCGCATGCACCAAATCGGGGGTTGCAACCAGGCGGAGGCTTTACAACGACTCCGCTACTTTCCATCTGGGCGAGGCGGGCCGCCTACTATAACCTCAAGTCGACCCAAGAGGCCTCCAAACCGCCATAAGGGAGGTAGAAGAGGGCCACCAAAGACGGCCCCCAAAAGCCAAAATACAAGTGCTCCTTAGGTTGATGTAGGATTTCAAATTTCGTTTTCGGGCCTCTAACGCTCGAAGACGGAACAAAAAGCAGTCAAAATCACGCCAAGTCGGCTCAGGGGGCCGCCAAGACGGCCCAAGACGGCCCAAGAGGGCGGAAAGACGGGCGAAGAGGCCCCCCAAACGTCCCAAGATTGCCCCAAGAGGGTTCTCAGAGAGGCCCATGAGGGAGAGCACGACCGGACATTGCGAGGCCCCCCTCCCAAGATGACCGCCGAGACCGCCGGCAGGCCCCCAAGAGACCCCCAAGACGCCCCCAGAGGCCTCAAAGGAAGCGCACAAAGAGGCGCCAACAGTCCCCCCAGAGGCCCCGAGGAGGCCCCGAAGAGGCCCGCAGGAGTCCCCCAAAAGTACCTCCAGGACACCGCCAAGAAGCCCAAGATAGTCATCCGAGAAACCTTCCAAGAGATCTCAGGATATAGCCAAGATCCCTCTGGCTGGCAACCAACATTTACCTGGTGCGTGACGAATTGCGACGGGCTGGCTTCGATGCCCTGGTCCGGGGACGGGGACCTAAAGGGCCACCGAGCCCGGGTCAGCTTCGCCGAGCTCACCTGGCGCAAGCACCCCCCTCCGTCAAGCTCGACCCCCGCCCCGTCGCCGCAGAACGGTTGCGCAGTTCCGTCGGTGGCGCGCGGCTTGGGCTTCGACGTCCGCGACGCCAAATCCCGCTCCCCCCGGCCGCCTCCAGGGCAACCCCCCGCTCAGGCGGCCGCCGCGTCGGACCCCTCGGAAGCGGCGGAACCTACACCGGCACCCGATCCCTTCTCAGACGAGGCCCGAGAGATCCACTCCCTCGCCCGCGCCGCTCTCTGCGAGCGCATCGCCGCGTGGGGGCGGCAGAGCTCTGGCCGGCGCTGCCCTGGCAAGGAGCACCGGCTGGCCTCGGCGGCAACCAGGGGGAGAAGCGTGGAGGGGGGGGCGGGCCTCCTCCGAGGGCTCGGAGGTCCCCGGGCCTTCTGAGTTTTCTCTGAGCCTCCCCCGAAGACGCACAGCAACAAAAAAGAACCTCTCAGAAGGCCCGAGGGCTTCTGAGAAGTCCCGTCGCCAGCCCTCCAGCCTTCCGAAAGGGCCTCCTCCCCCTCGTGCTCTCGTGTTCCCCCCCCTCGCTGGCCGCCGCAAGGAGCACCGCCTTGAGCTCCTCTCTCTGCGGCTCCCTGCCGTCGCGCCTCCCAGCGCGGGCTCAGCCGAGCACGCGGCTCGGGTGTCCTCCGGGCCTCCCCATGGGAGGAGGCGGCGCGCGGGCCGGCCCCCCTCCGCAGCGAGCCGCCCCCGAGCCGCCCCCGCCCGCGGCAGCCCAAGGCTCGCCCCACACGCTTCCCTCGACGCCGCGGGGGGTCGCAATCGCGGGGTCAGCACGGGCTCGGCGGCGAGCGAGGGGCGGAAAGGACACCTGCCGCGTGCTTGGAGGACACCTGAGCCGCGTGCTCGGCTGGGCCCGCGCTGGGAGACACGACGGTGAGGAACCGCAGATGGAGGAGCTCAAGCCGGTGCTCCTTCTGGGGGCGAGCGAGGGGGGGAAATGAGAAGAAGAAGGCCCTCTCAGAAGGCTGGGGGGCTTCTCGGAAGCCCCCGGGCCATCTGAAAAGGTTCTCTCTGTGTCTCTGGGGAAGGTTTAGGTCGGGCGTGTCCTCCTACAGGTGGATTTTGGACGAAAAAATCCGCCGACCCTGTCGGCGTGTGGGAGAGGCTTTTCCGTCTTCCCCACAGCGTCGTCGCCTCTTTTGCTTTCCGAGGGCTCCCTGCACAAGTCTACACAAAAATTGAACAACATCGTCCTTCAGTCGAAGGGAAGCCCCTTCCCTTGATCCCTTCCCCGCCGAGGGGGGGGTCCCGGGGCAACTCCCAGGGGGGGTCCCCCCTCACTCCTGGAAGGTGGTCCCCCCTCGGTCCCAGGGGGGGGTCCCCCCTCGGATACGCAGCCCCTCGCCTCTTATCCTCCTGCGTCCTGGGGCTCCGTTGGCCCTCCGGAGCCGTCTCCGGGCCATTTGATCCCTTCCCCGCCGGGGGGGGGGTCCTGGGGCAACTCCCGGGGGGGGGGTCCCCTCGGATACGCAGCCCCCCGCCTCTCATCCTCCTGCGTCCTGGGGCTCCGTTGGCCCTCCGGGGCCGTCTCTGGGCCCTTAGATCCCTTCCCCGCCGGGGGGGGGATCCCGGGGAACTCCCGGGGGGATCCCCCTCGGATACGCAGCCCCCCGCCTCTCATCCTCCTGCGTCCTGGGGTTCCGTTGGCCCTCCGGGGCCGTCTCCAGGCCCTTTGATCCCTTCCCCGCTGGGGGGGAGGGGTCCCGGGGCAACTCTCGAGGGGGTGTCCCCCCTCGGATACGCAGCCCCCCGCCTCTCATCCTCCTGCGTCCTGGGGCTCCGTTGGCCCTCCCGGGCCGTCTCTGGGCCCTTATAGATCCCTTCCCCGCCGGGGGGGGGGTCCCGGGGCAACTACCGGAGGGGGGTCCCCCCTCGGATACGCAGCCCCCCGCCTCTCATCCTCCTGCGTCCTTGGACTCCGTTGGCCCTCCGGGGCCGACTCCGGGCCCTTTCAGCCTATCTTAAGGCTCCTTTCAGACCTTTCGCCATTTTTAGACTCTCTTGGCAGCCTCTGGGGGCACTCTTGACAGCCTCTGCGGGCGCTTTTGGACCTCGCTTGACGCCGTCTTGGAACCCTCTCGGGCCACTTGAGGGCGCTCTTTGCCTATCTTGGCACTCTCTGGAGCCGTTCCCGAACCCTGGAGGAGGCCTCTTGAGCTGTCTTCAGACGACCTTGCAGGCATCTGGCGCCGTCTTCGAGCCATCTGAGGTCATCTTGGACTCCTCTACCTCCGTTGTCTTCGTCGTCGCTGCCTAGAGGGTCGGCGGCATCGGCCGTAAGGCCTTCGCAATAATCACAAAATGATCAAACATAGTTAAAAAACAATCGAAAAGTCATCCCCTGACCATTCCTTAACTATTGTTTAATGTTACTACTGTAGATGGACACGCCCGACTCAAGGGAAGGCTCAGAAAACTTCTCAGACGGCCCGGGGACTTCCGAGCCTCCTGAGAAGGCCCGCCCCTTCTCACTTTCCCCCCCTCGCTCGCCTCCGAGCAGTGGCGGCGAGGGCGCACGCACACCGTTTTTTTCCTCGAGCGCGGCGATGGATCTCAACCAAAAGGCCCCATGGTAAGGATGCGCATCTGCCTCGGACCGGCCACCTTGTTTGGCGATGTTGCACTAGACCGGCCAGCAGCTTTCCACACACACACACACACACACACACACACACACACACACGCACACGCACACGCACACGCACACGCACACGCACACGCACACGCACACGCACACGCACACGCACACGCACACGCACACGCACGCGCGCAGACATGCTCACACCACACACACACACACACACACGTCACGGCCATCGCTCCTCCTCGCTGTCATCAGGGAACGCGAGGGGCGCCGCATCAGCAAGAGCAGCAAGAGCAGGAAGGCGAAAGATCTGCTGGCCTCTGCCTCCCAATCTTCCTCGGGCTCAGCCTGCGCGGCCGGCTCGGGCGCCTTCGCCTCCGGCTCCTTCGGGGGGATTGACGGGCAGGAGGCTCCCGGGAGATCCAGGGCCACTCTAAGATGCTTCACTCCTGAGCAGATGCTGCGTCGAAGGTCCGTCGCCTCGAGCCGAACTTGAGTCGAACCAGAGTCGAACTGGAGCCGAACCAGAGTCAAACTAGCATCGAACTTCGAACAGGTCTACTGGGTGCAACCCAGGAGAGAGAGAGAGAGAGAGAGAAGCCGTGCACGTCAGAGGTGCAATGGCAAGAAGGGGTGTGAAACCACGGCGAAATGCGATGCGAAGCCTCCGGCGTCGCTGGCTCCATGCACAGGGAAGGCCTGCCAATCTCCTCATGCATACCCGGCTCGCCAAAATTGCCCCCCGCAAGGAAAGCCCCCCAAACAAGCATCCGACCATCCTGCAGCCCCCTCGCTACACCTCACCAGGCCACGGCAGACCAGGAAGGCGGCAGAGAGCAGCGCGCCTCCGCACGCACCCCTCCTCACTGGCCTCCACGGCCGCGGAAGCGCCGCGTCGAGCAGGGTACAGACACTGGCAGGACGACGGGCAGGAGGAGGACGTGGAGGAGGGAGATCGAGGGTCGAGGACGCGTGTGCTGGGACGCCGTTGCTGGCCGCCACGGCCAGCTCCGCCCTGGCATTCTGGTCAGGGTGCGACCCTGAACGGGCCGAGGGGGCGGCCTTGAACGGAGCGAAGCGGTCAGCATTGAAGCGACTAGTCGGGTCGGATCGCAACAGGCAACGAATCGGGCCGCATCGGCACGAATGGAATCGGCCGCGCCAGGATGCAAAACGGCGCCATCCAAACATCTGGACACATCGGGTCGTCGAAATTCGGAGATCTAATCGAGCCAGCCGAAATCGATAACGAATCGAATCGATGGCAATGGAATGGACTCGAGGGGCGGGGGGGAGGAGGAGAAGAAGCGGAACGGGGGAGCAGAGGAGGAAATGGAAAGGGGGGAAGGAGAGGAGGGAGAGCCAGGAGGAAGAACGGGATGAGGAGGGATGGGAAGACGAGGGCGGGGGGCAGGAAGAGGACGCGGACGAGACGGAGGAGAAAGAGTGGAAGGGGGAGAAGGACGAGCAAGAGGCGACGGAAAGGGAGAGCACGGAAAGGTGCACGGACACCCGACGGTGTTGCTCTTTCAACCCGCGGGCCCCCGAATGGTCCCGCCCCTTCCCATCGGGGCAGCTCTCTCCATCCCGGGCTCAGTGCTGCTTGCCCTGGGGTCCGGCACTGGCCCCCAGACGCGGAGACTCCGTCTGAAAGCAAGGCCTGGAAAAACCAGTCCGCCAGAACTCTCGAGACGGCGGCCAAGGCGACGACGACGGCGGCGGTGGCGCCGACAGCGGACAGCGGATGCCACCCGCCACCACTGTCCTTCGCCTTCGGCTCCTCGGGCGGTGGAGGCTCCGCCGCCTTCTCCTGCGAGGCGCGCTCGCCTCCCTTCCCCCTCCCCGTGCCTCCTTGTGGAAAGGTTACCTTGCCGCCAGCCGCATCCAAGCTCGACTTCCTACGGAGGGAGCGAGTGAGACGGATGGACGAGGACAGGAAGGAGCGTTTTCACGAAGGAGGGAGGACACCTGCAGAGGAGAAACAGATGCAGAAGGCAAGATCTGCAGGAGAAGGAGGACGAAAGGAGGCGCGCGCCTAGAATCATTATATCTTGATCTGGCAGTTCCAGTGTACGTACACACTCTGGTCGTTGACAAACTATATTGCGATTGAGAACGCTAAACGAAATCAACCCCAAACTCGGTGCGGGAAGCACGCGATGCTGAATGCATGTGCCAAACCAATCAACCACAAACGGTTATGCGAATGTGGTGAGCAACCGCCACTCGCAAACACTGTAAATAGTATAAATCACGTTCAGCGGACACGGTGAAACACCAACCTGGGCTCCTCGAAAAAACAATTATTCTCGGATGATCAAATCGAGCGCAATGCCATGGGAACGCGACGCCCTGAACAGAAAGCTGGGAATTCAGACGGATGATTTGCAGCGGCGTCGCCACCTTCGCGAAGGGCGCATTGGAATGTCGGACTTATGGAAACCTCTCACGAGTCTCACGCGCACAAATACGCCAACAAACGTCACTGAGTTCTGCTCCCTCGGACAGGCGCGCATCCGAATATGATGAGCGAACACTAACATATCAGCGCATGCACATACATACGTAGACGAATGCATGAGACATGCGTAAACATACGTACATGTATGTCTATACATGCATGTACACGTATGTTAGCACATATGTTCCCCCTATGATCATACCATTTGCCTTGGCATTGATGGTTTCCACTTTGTTGTTATTCCGACCTCCCCCGCACCTGCTCCCCGCTCTCCGTCGCGCTTCCTCGTCCTCTTATCCTCCTTCAGCGGGGCAGTGCAACCTCAGGCTGGGGGCAGCGGGGCAGCGCAAGGCTTCTTACTGTTCTCTCGCGTTGGATCCCAGTCCCTCTCTGCCCCTGCGAGGGGGATGACGAAGAGGAGGAGGGGGAGGAGGAAGAACTACATACTATGAGTGAGGAGGAAGAGGAGCCAGATAGGACGAGTGCGATGCCGACGATGATGACGATGAGGACGACGATGCTGATGATGATTATGATGATGATGCTGCTGATGATGATGATGACGGCCACGATGACGATGACGACGATGATGAGGAGGGAGAATATTTGATACGGAATCCTTTATAAGGAACCCTTGAAAAGGGATCGCGCGAGGGGGGGGGAGCCGAAAAGCATCCTGGTTAGCATCCCCGGCCCGCGTTGTTTGAATTCCCGGGGGGTCGTGAGACACGTAAAATACCTGATATTCGCGTCCCCGCGGCCATAATACCTAGCGAAGTATACCATAGCCGCACCCCCGAGGCCATAACCCATCGTAAATTGCACGATATTCGCGTCCCCGAAGCCATAATCCTCCGAAAATGATGCCAGATTCGCGTCCCCGAAGCCATAAACCCTTGTAACTGTTGCGATATTCGCGCCCCCGAAGCCATAAAAAGTTGCAAAATGTAGAATACTCGCGCCCCCGAGGCCATAAAGCCCAGATAAGTATTCAATATTCGTATAGAGTACACCATGCTTGCGCTCCCGAGGCTACAAACCCTTGCAAACTACACAATACTCGCGTCCCCGAAGCCATAAACCTCGTTGTAGGCTACGCGATAGTTGAGGTCCCGAGGCCATAAACCCCCGTAAATTACACGGTCGTTGCGTCCCCGAAGCCGCAAACCCTTGTAAGTTACGCAATAGTCGCGCCCCCGAAGCCATAAACCATCGAAAAATAACCTATACTCGCGCCGCCGAACCCATAAACCCTCGTAAATTAATGCTGGCCCTCGCGTGAAGTCCCGACACTGCTTCCCGTCAGCGTCCAGACAACCTTGACCAAGGAATCCTTAATAATAAATACTTACCGAGGAAGCCGTCGTAAGGACCCCTTACTGAAAAACCCGCAAGAAAGAATATTAAGTAAGAAACCCTGAGTAAGAAATACTAAACGACGGAACCCGCACCAGAAATCTTAAATAAAAAATCCTTAGTAAGGAATCCTACGTAAGGAATCATAAAGAATCGTCGTGGTATCCTTCCTAAGGAACCTTATTTACGGAATCCTTACTGAGGAATACATACCAAAGAGTCGTCAGTAAGGAATATGTACTACGGTATCCTTACTCAGGAATCCTTACTAGGGAATCCTGCATAAGAAATCCTGCAAAAGGAATCCCCAAGTAAGGAATCTGCCCGAAGGATTCCTTAGTAAGGAGTCTTTACTCGAGAAGCCTTCCTAAGGAATCCTTAATCAGAAACTTAACCAAGGAACGCTTGATAAGGAATATGTGCTAAGGAACCCGTACTAAGGAATTTCTAACAAAAAAACCTTCGTGACAAATCTGAATTGCGAAACACTCAACACGGAACCTTTACTACGGACCCATTCATACTGAGGGATCCTGAATGAGGAATCTGTAATACGGAACCCGTTATAAGGACTACTCAAGAAATCTTGTTGTTATGAGGAGCCTTGATTCAGGCATGCTTAAGCAAAACTCCGCAATACGGAATCTGCCCTCCGGAATCTTTTATAAGGAATCCGCCAAACGGAATCTTCACTAAGGAATCCGAGATGAGGGTTCCTTAATCAGGAATGGTAAGGAACATTGGCTAAGGAATCCTTGAAAAGGAATCTCTACTTGAAGAATATTGAGAAACAGCCCTATGTAAGGACTCTGTACTAGGGAGTGACTAAGGAATCCTTAGTAAGGAATCTCAGCTAAGGAGCCCTTACTAAAGAATCGCAACTAGGAAACGCTGTGTATGTTGTTTGTTTGGGTTGTTTGTTCTTGTCGGTTTTGCAGGCTCAGAGGAAAGTGCTGCGACAGATGCCGCGGCGAGCACGGTGGCCTGCAAAACAAACAACAAACAACAAAAGCCCCCAAAAAAGAAGGGAGTTTCCTTGCACCAAGGGTGCCAAATACTGCGTATGGTTGTTTGTTGTTTTGCGGCCCAAAGAGGAGTTCTGCGAGATAGGCCGCGGCGAGCTTTGGGCCCTGCCAAAAAATACGTTCCCCTTCATCCCAGACCAAAAACTGGCACACACACACACACACATACATACATATGCATACTATTCCTTGACTGTTTAATATAAAAATGTCTCCGTGTGTTGAAGGCGCCAAGCGCTGCCTGGTATTGGCTCTGTATTGCTACAAAGAGGAGGAGGAGGAAGAGGAGGAGGAGGAGGAGGAGGAGGAAGAGCAGGAGGAGGAGGACGAAGAGGAGGAGTAGAGGGAGAGGAGAAAGAAGAGAGAGAGAGGAAAACAACGAAGAAGCAGAAAAAGATATGATCACAGGGGTGGGCGACCTATATATATATATATATATATATATGTATACATACATACATACATGCATGCATGCATACATACATACATACATACATACATACAGATAGAAGCAAGTATATGGATACATGCGTATACATATGTATAGAGAGCGAAAGAGAGAGAGAGAGAGAGAGAGAGAGAGAGAGACACCCCTCACCCCCCACCCCACCCCGAAAAAAAGCACAAACAAAAAAAACGTTTTCTGGCGACGCCGAGCGGCACAAAGATGTCCCAGGACAGAGAGGCGATGAACGCGTCCACGGCGCATGGCGAGCCCGAGCCTCACAATTCGACATTCCGCCTGCGACGCTTCCCCAGGAGTGCGTCGATGCATAATCGAAACGATCGGGCACAACATGAATGAACCGACGACGACTGACCTGCATCACGCGCCACGGCTCTCGGGTGCCCACAGCCTCGAATCGATCGGGCGCCTCGTGGCCACCAGCGGTCCACCATAAAGCGCCACTCTACGTTCCCGTCCCCCCCGTACCCCGCGCCCCTCGAAATACACGTAAGTCGGGCCTGTCCCCCTACAGGGGTTCGACGAAAAATAAGAAATACCCGAAAATACCCCAAAAAGGTCAAAAAATACTCAAAACAAAATCCCCAGACTATCTTTTGGACTTTTGTTTTACTATTTTGGGGGTATTTTTCATTTTTCGTCGAAAATCCCCCTGTAGGGGGAAACGCCCGACTTAAAACTACACATTGCCCGGCCCAGCCCCTCCAGCTGAAGAGCCGAACGCGCGCGCACCCCCCGCGCTGGACGCGTGCCCTCGCGCGCGAGCGGATCGGCGCCGTCCAGGAATCGGCCACGAGACACGCTGCCTGGAACAGACGCCCGCACCAGGCGCGGCTGGGGGAGCAACACAACTCGCGTGGGCGAGGTGAGAGACGGGGGGCGGAGGGGCCGGCGGCGATCTCAACCGCAGACGCTCCACCACGTAACGCCCCGCATCGTGCACCCCACACCCATCTGGGGCCAGGGTGACCATGGCCACAATCGGCGCAACTTCAAGAGGCGGCGTCCCCCGAGCGAGGGAGGCTCACGAAAAGACCCCGTCCCATCTGCCCCCCAAGCGCGTACATCCGTCAATCCTCGTCCCGCTCCTATCTCCAGCACTCCTCCTCCGTCTCCTCCTCCTCCACCTCCTTCTTCTTCTCCTTATCCTTCTCCTTCACCTTCTCCTTCTCCTCTTCCTCCTCCTCCTCCTCCTCCTCCTCCTCCTCCTGCTCCTGCTCCTCCTCCTCCTCCTCCTCCTCCTCCTCCTCCTCCTCCTCCTCCTCCTCCTCATCCATCATCATCATCATCATCATCATCATCATCATCATCATCATCATCATCATCATCATCATCATCATCATCATCATCACCACCACCACCAAAACCACCACCCACCACCACCACCCACCATCATCATCATCATCATCATCATCATCATCATCATCAATCAGCATCCCATCATCATCATCATCATCATCAGCATCATCATCAGCATCATCATCCTCATCATCATCATCACATCATCAGCATCATCATCATCAATCATCATAATCATCATCATCATCATCATAAACAGCATCATCATCGTCATCATCATCATCATCAGCATCATCATCATCATCATCATCATCATCATCATCCTAATCGTCATCATCATCATCATCATCATCATCATCATCATCATCATCATCACCATGATCATCATCATCATCATCATCATCATCATCATCATAAGCAGCATCATCATCATCAACATAGTCATCATCATCATCATCGTCATCATCATCAGCAGCATCATCATCAGCATCATCATCAGCAGCAGCATCATCATCATAAACAGCATCATCATCGTCATCATCATCAACATCATCAACATCATCATCGTTGACATCATCAGCATCATCATCATCGTCATCATCATCACCATCAGCATCATCAGCATCATCATCACCATCACAACCATCATCATCATCATCGTCATCGTCATCATCATCAGCAGCAGCATCAGCATCAGCATCATCATCAGCATCAGCATCATTATCATCATCAGCGCCATCATAATCTTCATCATCATCAGCAGCAGCATCATCAGCAGCAGCAGCATCATCACCATCATCATCATCAGCAGCAGCATCCGCATCAGCATCATCATTATCAGCATCATCACCATCATCAGCAGCTTCATCATAATAGGCAGCAGCAGCATCAGCATCAGCATCAACGTCAACAGCATCATCAACATCATCATCCTCAGCATCATCAGCATCATCATCAGCATCAGCATCAGCATCAGCATCAGCATCAGCATCATCAGCATCATCAGCATCATCATCATCATCATCAGCATCATCATCATCATCATCATCCAGCTCCTCCTCCCCTCCTCATCCTCCTCCTCTTCCTCCTCCTCCTCTTCCTCCTCCTCCCCACACACACACACACACTCACCTTTCCCTCCCCCTCTCGCCCTCGCCCCCCCCCCCCCCGCGCCTCCCTCCCACGCCCCATCCTGAACCCCGTAGAAGCCCATGGAACCCAGCCGAAACCCCAAGTCCCAATCCGCACACCCAACCTCCGTCCACCTGTCTTGCCTTCCTCTCCCCATACCTCCCTCCTCCCCGTCCCCTCCCATCCTCACCTCCCGTCCTCGGCAGCGCCCACAAGGGGGGGGGGCGCGAGGGGGGCGGGGTTTCTAAGCAGGTGGCGGAGCTTCTATCGGCAGTGGACAAACCTCCCTTTAGTAGACCTCCCCTTAGTGAAAAGGGCCTGGAACCTAAGCCGACGGACCTGGACCCGCAAAAATGACGGCCGCGACGCCCTCTCGCGAACCGAAAACGGCCAATTCCTTGATCGACGCGTCAGGATAGGAGGTCTGTCCACCCCTGATTCTAAGAAGGCAGGGGAGCTCATCCGAAGCCCGCCAGGCTTCTGGGAAGCCTTCTTGGAGCCCTCTGGGCCCGCCTGAGGTCCCCTGCCTTCCGAGAAGGCCCTCCGCCCTCTCAGCGGGCGGCCCGCCTCGCGCCGTCCCCTTGCGGGCGCCACCAGCATCTTGCCTGCTCCCCTCCCCTCTCGACGCCTCCTTCCCTGAACAAGAATCGGAAGCCGGGCGAGGGCTGCTAAATCCGTGGCTGCGAAAATCGACGTCCGGGAAGTTGTCTTCGTCCTTCCGGGAAGAAGCCCGCTGACTGTTTCGCGTGCCGCGCCTCATTTCGGGAAGTTGTTTTTCCTTCCGGGAGGGCCGTTTTAGGAGCCACGGTTTTAGCAGCCCTCGCCCAGCTTCCGACAGAATACAAACGACACCCCACCTACGTCGCCACGGGCGGGCTGTAGCATGCCCCACAAGTTCCGCCTTGGGCTTCTGCATTTAGGGTGTACGCTGGGGCCCCCAAAGGGGCCGTGGCGCAAAGTGGAGGGCCGCGGGGGGGGGTTGTCGCTTGTTTGTTGGTCGATCCCACCCCCCTTCCCCGCTCCTCTCCCTCCTGGGGTCTGGGCGCGGGCCTGGCCAGCAACGCCGCGAGGACAGCTCTGTTTGATTACTCCGCCGCGGAAGTAGCGGTCTCGCGCAGAGATCGGTCGGAGAGGCACAGGGGGCTGCTCCGCAGCACGCTATAATGCACCACAGGAGGAGGGAGCGGGCGGCGACCGCAGAGGGAGGGAAGAGGAGGGCGACCTGTCAGACCACGCACGAGCCTGGCAGCGGCGTGCAACAACCCAGGCTCCAGCAGAGGGGCTGCAAGCAGGGCACGCCCAGGTGGATCCAGGAAGAGGGGGGCAGAGAGGTGCCCTTTCTCGGGCCCGAAAGGCCCCCTTCTGGACCCGAAAGAGCTCCTTCTGGGGCCCTCCAGGGCCCCTTTTCTGCAGCCCTCGCTGCCCCACGCCCCCCCATGCATCGCCCCCCATCATTCCGCGCCCAAGGAATGCAGCGACCAAGGCTCCGGCGGAGAGCTACAAGCAGGGCGCGGCCAGATGCGTCCAGGAAGATGGCCGTGCAAGGGTACAAAGCCGGGCCGCGATCCGAGCAGGCTCGAGCACGGCCGAGAGGCCACGCCAGGTGGCGGGACTGGGACATTGCGCTGACCAGGTCCTGGAAGTGCGAGAGACACGATCACCATGGGCAGCGCTCCAGGAGGTGTGAATCACCAGGGGAGCATGCGCGGGCATGTCCCGTCAAGATGCGGCCAGGCGCTACTAAGTTGAGTTGCCCTGCCGCGAAAACGCGCAGAGGGGAAAGAGAAGGAGCCCACGCACGCGCGCTCGGACAGCCCCGCGAGACGAAAGCAGCAGCCTCGACAGGAGAAAGTTCGGGGAGCAAAATCAAGATCCCTTACCCCACCAGAGCATCGGCAAGGGTGAAGGCGGGTCGAGGAGTCGGAGCACGGCCATGTGCACCTCAGAGTGGTATGCTTTGCAAAGGGATCGTGGCCGTCACGACCAAACATGCAGCCGGCATTGAGGCGAGAGCACGCTTGCTGGCTGAACCGCGGAGGGCCCTCGGCGAGGCGCCGCTGCCGGAGCGTGTCCCGAGAGAAAACCTCCAGGAACCAACAGAAGCATCCAAGAACCTCGAGAACCTCGCACCCCCCCTCCTGAGCCTGTCGCCACCCCTGAGCCTATGCCCGTTCGTCCTCTTGACCTCCGGCGCCGCCCGACGCCGCCGCGGGCTCCTGCGGCGCCTCAGACTCCAGGGGAGGCAGGCCCATGCGCTCGCGCTTCTTGGCCTCCGCGTGCGCCCTCTCCTTCTCCTTGTCGGTGGCGCGTGGCGACGAAGGGGAGGCGGAGGCGGAGGAGGAGGGGGAAAAGGAGGAGGAGGAGGAGGAGAAGGAGGAGGAGGAGAAGGAAAAGGAGGAGGAGGAGGAGGCGGAGGCGGAGGCGGAGGCGGAGGAGGAGGAGCACAAGGAGGAGGAGGGGG